TTATTTATATAATTTATAAGCGTGAGTACTCTTTTTAAAAATAATTATGCTATTTTTTATGAATTTTAAAAGTCTTCTCCATGTGTTTTCTCATAGTTTTCAGATACTAGAAGATACAAAAACATTTTAACTTGCAGTATTTAGTATTATTAAAATTATGGGCTTCTTAGTCTGATGACTAAGTGTATCTGCCTCTCAGATACACTTGGTTTCAAATTACATCTCTAATTTATATAGTGAAGGGAACTATTCCCTTCTCAAAACATATGTTATCCTACATTCTAGAATTAATTCTTGTTCCCTTAACACCAGTGTTAGTATAAAAATTATACTGAACTGTTTTTCTTATGTTCAGGAATGGAGCCTTGTACTCTGACAATGGAAGATATAATGCCTTCTCACTAATGATCCCATGATCTCTATCCACATAACCGAGATAAAGACTAAGACTTGGAAATGCTAAAATTAATATGGTGAAATGGGTCAATATCTAAGTTTGTATTAGGCTTAAAAAGATAGTCAAGTAATTCTAAAGAATAAATAGTGAAAAGATGATAGGTATAACCAAATGCAAGGGACAAAATCTAGTTATCTGGGTGAAATCATCTTCACCTAGTCTAGTTTTTATTTAATTAAAAATAACTGAAATTTCCAAAATTAAAAAGGAAAGGTGAGTTAATTAAAAAGAAATGCTGTAAGTTTATTTTTATCTTTATTGGAATATCATTTGTCCCTATCATGTGACAAATCAGGGAGCTGTTTTTGAGCTGGATATAAAGCAAAAGGAATGTGTGAATAAATTCATTCTGCTTACCTAGTAGATTAGTTGCAAAGAAAGTGCTATAGAAAAAGAAATACCTCTCAATTTATTATCACCAAAAATAATGATTCTTGATATGAGAAACTTCATGTAATACAGAAAAATAATTTATTGTGAAAATGTTGTAGTTTATAGTTCAAATAAGATTTCAGATGGTTAAATGGGATATAAAGCTTTTACAGAAATTAATCTTAAATTGCACAAATTTTAATCTTATACTAAATTTTGTTTAGAATAAAGTATGAGAACTTAGAAAATATATTATTTTGGTTTGCTTGAAATTTTAGTCCTTTATAATTTACAGATGACATTCTAGAGGCTATTAATCCTTAAACCTCTTACTCCTTTTAAACTTGATTTCTGATAAAAATCTACTCTACTATGATAATTTTATGAATTCCTGGTCTTCCCCTTGAAGGGAGTTTAACTATTATGGATTTTATTCACTTATTTATTTTACTTACCTAAGTCAGGCTTTAGGTCAGTAGGCAAGCTTAACTTCCTTGACATCTTTGCTGAAAAATAAAACACATTTTTAAAGTTCTGAAGAGTATATGATTCATATTTATTAATACCAGCTGCTCTTCCAGATAGTGAATACTTTTATTACTAAATCTAGATGCTAAGATAATTAAAATATGATTAATAATATTATGGGTGGAAAGTAAATCTTATTTTCAATTCTTTAAAAAGTTTGTACTTACTTGTAATATCTTTGTGTGTTTGAAGCTCATACTTCAAGAAAGCTTTTTAAATTCTAACTGTTAATTATTTCTGTGGCTCACAGAAAGGGTTAGGCTTTTCTAAGAGAAGCAAAGTCATTTCTCAGAAGGAAGATGCAGATAAGGACAATAGAGGCAGAAGGCTGAGTATGGGTAGTTGATATAATAAAATCTTTTCAGTTCCTCATCTTCATAGCCACTGAGTTCATTATTTTTTAAGTTAATCTTTAGAATGTAGGACAACCCCTATCTAAGATCAAATATAAGTGTTTGATTATATCATAAAACTTTTTGGCTTCATCTACTCTTGACATACATTAACACCTCTACTTACATCTCCGTGAAAAACAAAAGAAAGTCATGCTCAATCTAAAATTATGGTATTTACAAAAATATAAACTCTTGTGTATGTCAATTTCTAATTTAGTATAAGAATAATAAAAAAGCCTATTATAAACTTACTGGAATTCACTTTCCATCCTCAAGGTCAGTTATTGCCTTAATCTAGGAAGTGATTTAAAGTTAGGAGTTGTTTAACTACATCTATTGTATTAGCAGCACTGCATGCAGAACAGAATAGTGCTTCCTATGTAGAATACTGAAAAAGCACTTGCTTGTTAATACATGAATGCATATATTGGGTTAAATTTTGGGCTGTTAAGAGATATTTAAAGCACAGACCCTGCTAGTCCATAAGGGCGCCATGTAAACAAAGAGAAATCCAGTCATAGTATATAACTTCCACATCTAAAAAAATGACAAATCCAGTATTAGGAGAGAGGCATTAGGCAAACTGGGAAGGGGTGGGGGAAATAAAGTTTTCGTTTCCAAGTTTCATTAATCAGAATCTTTTAAAAAATACAAATGAGTCAAATATACAATCAGTCCTATCCCATTTTCACCCAGATGTAATCAACGTCAGTTAAAAGATAAAATGTACTCCAAAACTAGTCAGTGAAACCTATGGTTAGCTGATTTTATATAAATGGTTTGGATTGTATTTAATACCCAATTCCCTAAAATCAGAAGATATTATACCCCCCAAATAATCTTCTAAAATAGAGTATTAACACCTTCAAAAGACTTCAAAGAGGTTTTCATCAAATATCATAGGTACAATGTACATAGACTGATAAATAACATCTGTATAATGTACGTGTTATCTGAAGTAGAAAAATCAGTCTGATAGAGTATAAAGACATGAATTGGATGGTGCGGATGCCTCTCTAGACTTCACTAATCTACTTTGATCCAGTTATTCTTTCAGACCAGTGCTTATCAAAAACTTGAATGTACACATCAATCACTTGGCAAACTTGTTAAATCAGATTCTGATTCTATATTCTTGGACTAGGGCCTGAGATCTTACACTTCTAACCAGCTCCCAGGAAATGCCAATACTGCTGGTCTATGAACCACACTTTGAGGAGCCAGATCCCTAGACTAAAAGAAACTTCAGGATATGAACCAAAGCTAATTGAGCAAACCCAGTATGCGTATGTACGTTAGTTCACCATAAACATTCTCTGAACAAGGTTCAATACTTAGTTTGTAAAATGAGGAAGTGTAAAATGTAGTGGTTACGACTGGATTTGACATCAGACCAAACCTGAGATGGAATCCACTTCAACCAACTACCAAGTGTATGACCTTAGCCAATTACTTTGCCTCTCTAAACCTGAAATTTCCTCATTTGTTAAATGAGGATAGATAATAATGCCAATTTCACAGCTGTATTATACAGGACGATGTAAGCAAAGCACTGTGCATAATATCTGACACACAATACAGATTTGATAAATTTTAGTTATTAATAATAAACAAATGCAATGGTATCTAAATAAACTGTAAAATGCTGTACCAATGGGCTGTTAATATACTTGTAAACTACCAGCATTCCTTTATTATAATTCTATGATAACATTCCAAGTAACTAAAACAACAAAATTCGGGGAAATAACTTTAGGACATAAGTATGGTACAGTAATGCACCACTTAAGTTCAACCTCTCTTAAGTTTGTTTCAAAAACTAAATTCAATATATACCTAAACATAACAAAGATAAATAACCTGAGTTAATTTACAAGCTATGTCATTTGTCCTCATAGTTAAAATATATTAACTATTTTGTCAATTAGAAATGTATCTGTTGAAGCTTTCACTAAATAACCATACACATATTTCTGCCAAAAAAATTTCATTAGCATGAAACTCCTTTCTGAATTTCTTAAGTGTATGCTTTCAATCTCCCTTAGGATTTTCTACTAGAAATCCTTTTATACAAAATTCTCAAATATTTAAAAAATTTAAGTTAATCTTTCCCATAAAATACAATTATTTTTAGTCTAGCATTACTTAATTTATCATGTTAAAAAAACTCTGAATATAACTAATCAACTTTCAAATAATTCTTCAATTGGTCTAATTTTGACATTTTATCGAGGTTAAACCACACAATAATGACAAGGCAGATTTTTTTACTATAGTAATTTTACTATGAATGTCACAAAATGATTTAATTATAATGTCTAATATTTCCTCCTGAAACACTTTGCAACTGGAGACCCACAACCTGACCACAAACTCAATCATAGTTTTCAAAAGACAGATATTTAAGCCACACTACTGTAATATTTTGATACAATTTTAAGCAATCTCCTTGAGCTTGAAATGACAAATGTTAAAAGATTAACTTTGCTATTTTGTTAATTCCACTTACCAATTAATATTAAAAAAAAAAAGATTCAGAACTAACAATTTTAATGAATAGAGAAACATTTTTGTTACAGGTAAGAGCTGGGAACAAGAGCTCAGGGATACTCACTTATTAACCTATTAAATGTTTATTAGGCACATGCGAGCTTTGTGCCAGAAGGCAGAGATTTCCTGCCCTCTAAGAGTTCACAGTCCATTGGAGGTGTGAAGTAAGTCCACTGCAATGTAGCAAGTACCAACAGAAGCAAGCACAAGGTGCTAACTAGAGTACACTGAATTTATAACTGTCTTATTACTCTGGAATACTTATCTAAGACAATGGGATATGAGGATAAAGGCAGCAAGGAGTAGACTTTGCACATTTTCACAAAACTATTTGTTCTCCACTTTTTTGTTGGCAGTATTTTTCTTTTGATGTAAAATTTACATACAAATAGATCTTAAATATATACTGAGTTTTGACAATGTACACCCTATGTAACTCAAATCCTTAACAGGATATAGAAATTCATCACCATCCAAGAAAGATTATACATATTCTTTCCAATCAATTCCTGTCCTCATCCCTAGAAATAACCACTGCCCTGATGTTTTCCCCTCCGAACCATGGATCAGGTTTTCAGTTTTGCCTATTCTAGAATTTCATATGCATGATATCATGGTATAAACTCTTATCTAAAGCATCTTTCACTTCGGACAATGTTTTTTTTTTTTTAATCTTTTCCCCCAAATATTTTATTTTTTAACACATGGAACACTTCATGAATTTGTGTCATCCCTGTACACGGGCCATGCTAATCTTCTCTGTATTGCTCCAATTTTAGTAATATGTACTACTGAAGTAAGCACCTTCCCAAAATATTGTAAAGGTTACATTGTTTCTTCAATACACAGAATTAGAATTTTTAGGTGAAAAACACAGTCTCAATTAGTAGATTCAGAGGCATTATCAGATTAACCTCTTCTAAGTGTCCCCCCATACACCCACATTTTATCTTTTCTGAATTATGTGTTCTTTACAGAAAAATTGGAAAATATAGAAACAGAAAATAAGGTCATCACGAATGCCCATAATCAAGAGACAAAATTTTTCCATATTTCCTGCCACTTAATATCCATTTTTATTTAGTATACAAATCTGTATTTTGCTTTTTCCCCCCACTATTAAAAAAAAGCATTTCCTTACATCGGTTGTTAGTATATTTTAATGGCTGAATATTTACTTATATGAACACTTACTCAATAAGGTATTTTCTCATACATATGACAGCAAAAATGTACAAAAATATTTGCATATATTTTGATTATTTCCTTCGATGAGAGTTCCATAGAGGACAATAATTTCTAATACAACTTTCCCCAAGCCCTAAGGTCTTCTAAAATATGTCTTTAAGTAGCAGCTATTATTTTTTTAAAGAAAGGCATATAAGCATAATATTTTACAAAGTTCTGTTTAGCTGAAAACAAAGAAAAATATGAATCAGAGAAAAGTCCAACTCACAACTATACCCCCTCAAAACTCAAGTTGCTTCATTTTCTTACAGCATTGGACGTAGCTATGTAGCTAAGAAACCTAAAGCCAGATAATCACCTCCTTTTGAATGTAACTTGTCTTTTTATGGGTACTTATGGGAAGGGGAAGAGCAAGAGGGGAAGAGGATTAAAATCTTCAGCATTATACACTGTGTTAGTTATTTGTTGTCAGGTTCCATAGTCCTTTCTTCTACAGTCTCTATCACTGATACTAAACTCATCCAAGTAATTTTATTGCATCAGATACTGAACTTTTCAGTATGAGACTTCATTTTATTCATTATAAAGTTGTTACTTTCTCTGCTGATATTCTCTATCTGTTCACTCATTATGACCATTTTTTCTTTTCAATATTAAAACATATAATAGCAGCTGCTTTAAAAATCCTTGGCTGCTAATTTCAGCATCTAGTTCATCTTGAAGTCTGTTTCTACAAGTTTCTTTATTCTTCTTTAAAAAAAAGTTTATTTTTTGAGAGAGCGGGGGTTTGGAGGGCAGGGGACAGAGACAGAGAGGGCAAGAGAGAATCCAAAGAAGGCTCCATACTGTCAGAGCATAGGCCCTGCAGGCCTCAAACTCATGCAACATGAGATCATGACCAGAACCGAAATCACGAGTTGGGTGTTCCACCAACAGTCACCCGGATGCCTCAACTTCTTTATTATGGGTCACATTTCCCTACTTTTGATTTTGAATCTTTATTTCACATGCCTAGAAACTTTTGATTGCTTGAATGCTGGACAGTGGATAATATGTTGAAGGGAGTCTGTATAGTATCATTAATCTTAATAGGTTGTGAGCTTTGCTCTACACCTTGCCGTTAAATTACTGGAGAATCATTTGGTTTTATCAGGTTCATTTTATTCTTTGTTAGGGCAGGTCTCTCTCAGTTTGAACTCAGTTCTAGGATATGGCTTTTATGCTAAAAAGTGAACCTTACTCTTAAGGAGGGCCTTTCTGGGGTATCAAGAGAATGACCAAGGCACTCTGCAGGGTCTAATGTCAACAACTCCCGGAAATGGGTGACTGCTGGTATCCCTGTCAGCTCTCAGCCTTAGAGATGGTAGCTATCCAGCTCAGGTACATTGTCAACCTGGAGCTGAACTGGAGGTGAACCTGCATACAGACTTCTACGAACTCCCTCTGTGCAGTTCCTTCCTCTCTAGCACACTATCTCCCACATTGCAGGCACGTTAGCAGTCCAGAACTCTAATCTCTATCTCCTTAGCCTGAAGGACTGCAGCTCCTCCTGGGTTCTACCCACCCTGTACTGCAACAGGAAAGTGTTCCATGGCAGAAACCTGCAGAGGCCGTGCGGCTCACTTCATGTTTCTCCTTTCTCTCAAGGATGGCAGCCCTACACTGCCTGTTACTCAATGGCTAGAAAGAAGAGCCCATATAGTTTGACTAGTGTTATAGTTGTGGAAGGCTAAGTCTCAAACCTAATGTCTGATGTTGAAATTTAGGTCAAATATTTTTATCTTTGAATTTTTGTGACTTCTGGGGAATATACTTGTTTCCAGGTCTGTTCATTAACCTCCCTGATGGCAGGTTCACAAGCAGCAGATCCAATCCTGAGAACCTCTAGTCAGGCCTCCTGGCTGACATGCTGTACCCTGGCAGAATTCTGTGGATGAAGCAGTCATAGACTTTATCCAGCAATTTTTTGATGATCATATATTTACTTCTCAGGAGTCTCAGAAGCACTTGCCAACCCAGTTACCTTGTCAGCTGATTTCATGGCATGTATATAGAAACTTCTGAACATGCTTTGAAGTTACTCAACTTCCATTGAGGCTTTCAAACTGAAGACATATGATTTGGAAGACAAGTGGTCTGTTTCTTTCATGTTCAACTGTGTATTCTTCAACTCTTGCTCTTTATACTCAGTATCTTCCTTGCTTTGAAATCTTTTGCCACTGGAGAGTATAAACTAGATCTCTTTTTCTATGCCTCTGTCCACAGAAGAAATGATAGGAATGACAATGAAGTTTCTTCAATTTGAAGAAAACTGGTATCAGATGTGTCTTGGCAGGCAATAAACCTGAGTCTCTGCTCTCTTCTTATAAAGTGCAGTGAAAATATTAAGCTGACTGGCTAGGTAAACAGTAAAGAGTTGCATTTGCTTGGTAGGAGCAATGAAGTTAGGCATGATCACAACAATCATGTCTGCAACAGTAGTTACAACTCTAAGGAGAGAAGCAAATCTCAAGAGGTCTGCCCGGACCACTGTACCACAGGTGACAGTTTTGTCATGGTTGTTACTTGTTAGTTTTTGCAACTGTACAAATCTTTGTAAAGATTTGTTGTAAATTATGGAGATTCCTATTGCTTCTCTTCAACAGATGTTCTGTAATTTTCCTTTAGTTCTTCTATCCATTGTGTTCCACATCTTATTTTTCTAAGGAAGGTTTCTTAAATGAAAGGAAAACAGAAGTATAACTTCTGCTTTTTGGAATGTGACTTTATAGTAAACAGTATACCAACAATAAAAGATAAAAAGATTTATTATTATGGTGGTATGAAGATGCCAAAAAAGCAAATTTTTGTTTATACCGAGAGGTTTAATAATTAAAATAAGGTGACAATATCACTTTTCTCACCACCTGCAAAGATCCAAAACCACTCTTTTCAAGCAAAGTGTTGAAATGTATGCATATTAAATAAAAATAAATCATAACAGTAAAGAGACTAAAACTCAACTTACAGGATTACGGCATAGAAGCCAAGGGAAAAGTGGGACCAAGAAGCAGAAATTCTAACGACTTATCACACATTATTTTAATAGCCAATAGAACTAATAATATCAATGTCTATTTCCCATGTTAGAATATAAATTCCATGAGTTTGGAAATAAAGCTTATCTTGCAAAATACTGCATCTGTGTACGTGTATAGCACTTAATGTGTGGTCAACGAGCATGGTGATGAATGAATAAATAAATGAATAACACAAGCTGTCACTGGAATTTTACTTCTATAGAAAGAGGAATAATTTTCTCACAAATAGAGAAAAAGTGGGCAAATTAAATACAGGCCTATTCATCAAAAATATGACTTTTGAAATTATCTCACTAATTTAACTTTAGTTTGGACTGATTTTATGTTATGAATCAAACAGGAAGTTATTTCTAGAGAGATCTTTTTATATTCTTCCAATATAAGGAAAAGACAGTTCTATGGAGAAAGAAATGCATACAAAGGAAATACGAAGATATAAGAGACAAACAGACTTTGCTGAGATTTATTATGAAATTTGACAGAAAATACATTCTGAAATACAATTAAAATCCAATATACATTATGCCATACTCTTCAGATTTTAGTCATCCTGAAAAAAAAAAAATCCATTAGAAAAACTCAGACTTGTATAATAGTTTTAATTTAATTTCATAGGACTGTGAAATTTAGTTCTTCACAAATTAAGAGTAAGAATAATCTTACCTGTAAAAATAGTATTACTGCACACTTGACCCATCTTCTCTTTCAAGATGAGCTTCTATTCTTCTAACAGCCACATTAGGGATTAAATATAAAGATGAACTTCTACAGATATAACAGCCACACATTTGGAATTGAGTATTGGGGAATGTAATGTAGAATTATCAGTACTAATTTGAGTTTTATAATGAATTAGAATAATTTTATAACTTAAAATTCTACTTAATTTGGTACATACCTTTTTATTCACATGGCAAACTCCAAATGGACCTCTGAGAATTTATTTTTCAATGTGTAAATATAGAACAATTGGGAAAATAGCACAAGAAAAAGAGGTCATAGAGCACAAGAGGGAAGACATACTATAGTAAAACAAGAGTTCAAGAGACCTGGATTCTGGTCCTGACTAGGTCATTACTATGGAACATTCCTTTGGATATACAACTCAACTTCTCTGAGATTCAATCTCTCTTCTTAAAAAATAAGGGAGCTTGAGCAGATTTAAATTTATAGGATTTAATGAGTTAGTGATTTAGAATATAATGACTATGACTCTAAGTTGTGTTAGAACATTTTAATTTAAAAAAGGAATGACTGGGACTCATGTAAAAGAGAACTAATGAAAATGATATTTGGACTAAAGATCATTATCTTCATTGGTCAAAAATTAGTTTTTGCTAAAAAAGAAAATTAGTCATTACTGAAATAACTAGAATCTGATAGTTTCTAGTTATAACTGATAACCTAGAATCTGAGAGATTAAAAGGAGGTACAATCCTACCTAGGCTAACAAGTACAACCTGAAAAATATCTATAGTGTCTGGAAATTGGGAGGTGCTCATTAAATGGAGCTTTGATTCCTATTTGTTTTGGCAC